TATATATATATATATATATATATATATAATTTGAAGGATCAAACGAGAACGGTATCTACTTAAAAGAACACGAAAACAGGCAAATCACATGTAATTTTACAGTAACATCATACAAAAATCACATGTGATTTAGACGACCTTTGCCCGGCGACTTGAAGACGGAGCCACAAGTCGTCCGGACACTTTTTTTGACCATTAATGTAAAATCACATGTGATTTTGCATATGATTTACCCGTTTTCGTGTTCTTTTAATTATGTACCGTTCTCGTTTGATGTATGTGTGTGTGTATATATATATATATGTGTGTGTGTGTGTGTGTGGACTTAATCAAATGAGAACTAATTAGTTTGTGGTAACCATGAGGTCCAATATGAGGTAATCATTTTATGATCTTAATTGTATTACCTTAATTAATAGGTAAAGGGCATTTTAGTAAAATGATTAATTATAATTTAAATATTTTTCTTATTTAATAGTTATCAAATTCGGTTTTCTTAATTATCAAGAATTCGGTTTCCTTAATTATCTCAACAAAATTGTATCACAGTTGTGTATCACATTGTGGTTGTGTGTGTCCTAAAACTCAGATCACATCCGTTATCAACCAATGTTCGAAACATTAACACAATGTGTATCACAATTGGTTTTGTGTCTTACTGTTATAAATTTTTGGGTATCACAGTGTGTATCATATTTGTTTTGTGTTTTACTGTTAGAAATTCTTGGTCGGAGAGAGAGGGGGAGAGAGGAGAGATATTTAAAAAAGACTCATTTACCCCTATATATTATCAATAAATTTAAATTATTTGAAAATTAATATGTTTAATAATAACCATTGATTATTAATAATGTGTGGTTGAGATTGAATTTCACAGTTATCACCAAAATAACACTCCCATCGCAATTGGCAGGTCCGCAACTTACGGAGGGGTCAAAGTGTAAAACAGAGAAAGTTTCTAAAGATGTCCGTAATTACAAGGACCAAATATGTAAATTAGGTATAGGTCCAGAGAAGTTTTTGTCCAAATATATATATTTGGTCCCAACTGCAGAAACTTTCTTTACTTTGACCCTCTATAAATTGTGGATCAGCCAACCACGAAGGGATTGACATTTTGGTGATCTTAGAAGAGAAAGCTAAGAGATGAAACCAACATCTAAAATGGATATTTCAATTAAATACTTCTATATATAGGGGTAGGTTTAATTGAAAATCATATTTTATTGCAAACATGAAGATCAATCTTGGCCATTAATTAAAAAATTTAGAAAACTAATCAATGGTTAAAGCATAAAATGCTTACTAGAGAAGTGATTAGAGGCAAAATAAAATTTTGAATGCCTATCTTTTTTAACTTTTTATTTTATTTTTAATTAAAAAACTGTTACTCTCTTGATTTTTTGTAATAACAAAAAAAAAAAGAGGAAATAAATTGAATGTAATTTAATAACATGAAACTCAATGATCATGAAACCTACGACCATTTATTATAGCTTATCGTTTCATACTCCGTGAAACCGCCGATGGGGCTTAGTATAAAATGAGAGTTTGTAGCTTTATGTGTAGTTTGGGGTTAAGAAGGAGAACTATTGTGAGAAAAGGCGACGGTGGACGCTGTAATGAGAATTGACGGTGCTCTACATCGTAGTTAGTTTGTCACCAATCGGGGAGACGCTAGCCACTTCAAAGATCGGTTTAGGCTACGCCGTGTATTGTGAGTTACACGTGATTTATTTTTAAAATGGTTGCATGTCTTATTATCCACAAGTTGTTTGAAGTTTCTCGAGATTTTTGATATGCTATATATACGTGAAAAGTTCGATATTTTTATAATATGTGTTTTAAGTACTTGTGTGTCAATAAGGATGTACTACGGCATGATTTTGTAAAGACGAGCATGCTTTGTGAGTTTGTCTAAGCCGTAAGTGTGGACATACTGTATGAGTTCGCCAGGTAATACTGTGTGAAGTAGACATCTCCCATGATGTTGTTGCTTTGTGATGTAGACACGCGCTAAAATATCTTTATTTTGTGAAAATCATTATTCTCATCAAGGCATGCTAAATTTATGAAGCTTCGTGAAAATTATTTTTTTATAAAAGTTGTTCATGCATGAAAACCGTGGATTCACTGGGCCTAAGGCTCACCCAAAACTCTTTTAAAACTTTTACCCAGGCGGCTTTTGAGTGGAAAGAAAAGTGCAATAAAGAGAGATATAAGGATTAAGATCAAAGAAGGACATGTGCAGATCAAGGCATTGTTATATAGAGCAAAGTATGTTCGTCAAGATTGTAATGTTACATAGCGATATAATTTGTAAGATTGAAGATTTTATTTCCACTGCAATGTAAGTGTTTGATCTTGGGATAGTAGTTTTGTTATATATAAGTATTCGAAATTTTGGGATGTTACAAGTGGTATCAGAGCAAAATTTAAGTTAATTAGGTTACTGAAACCTAAACTTAAACTGAGGATGGAAGATTTTATTATTGATAGATGTGTGACTAAAGATTGATTTATAGTGATGAGAGTGGTAATTGAAGTTAATTTAGGGTTAGTCTTAAACCAGATTAAAGCAGAGAAGTCGTTAGATGGTTTAATATCATTGGATATAATGACATTGATAGAGAAGTGTTTATGCAAAACACATGGTAAGATGAGATAAAATAGATGTAGAATGGTGTTGGTGGATAAAGTTTTGGTGACAAACTCCCACTGATTTTCTTTAGTGGGGAGAGAATATGTTTAGCTTTGAGAATAATATGAACTCAGAGTATTGATGATATAGTGAGTTGATTCATCATTTATTTGCATAGGCAAATTTCGAGGACGAAATTTTGTTAAGGGGGAAAGTTTGTAATAACCAAAAAAAGAGAGGAAATAAATTGAATGTAATTTAATAACAGGAAACTCAATGGTCATGAAACCTACGACCATTTATTATGGCTTATCGTTTCATATTCCGTGAAACCGTCGATGGGGCTTAGTATAAAATGGGAGTTTGTAGCTTTATGTGTAGTTTGGGGTTAAAAAGGAGAACTATTGTGAGAAAAGGCGGCGGTGGACGCTGTAATGAGAGTTTTTTTTTTTGAACAGCGAAAAGACAGTATATTAAGAAGAGGGAAGCCTAGCGAGACGCTAGTTACAAAGAGAGTTCATGGCGTCAACCGGGTTACAAGTCCAACAGTCCCAACTAAAGACTTGTTAATCCTCACTCTACATCTAATCCACTCATACGCAGTGAATTGAATATCACTACAAGCTTCCTTTTCAGACTTGTTTTTGCCCCTAAACGTCTTGTGATTCCTTTRAGTCCAAACGGTCCAAAAATAAGCTGCAATAATCACCTTGCCCACCTCTCTTCTACAACTATCTCCATACTCGCAGACCACCGACCACATGTCCCGAACCGAATTCTCAGTCGCCGGCCACCAGTTCACCCAGGAAGCCATATGCGCGTTAATGACTTTTGTCGTAGAACAAGTCGCAAATACATGATCCAGGTTCTCCATCGTTACCAAGCACATCGAGCACTCATCAGAGCTGCAAGTCACTCCCCGTTTCACAAGATTATCCCTGGTCGCTAATCGATTGTTGAGCGTTCTCCATAAGTGAATATTAGCTTTGCTGGGTATCCACTTAAGCCATTCAGTTTCCTGTTCCATAGAAGGAAGCATAACACAGTCAATCAATCTCCTAAGAGATCTAACAGAGAATATATTGTTTGCCTCCAGCAACCAAGACCATCCACTCCTATCCGGCGTGTTGATCATAAGACTATTAATGTTGATCCCGATATCACCCAGGTCCGTTTCGATGCTTTTTATATTGCTCCAAACAGTTCTTCTGCTTCTGCTATTTCTAGATACGAATTGCAACGAATTACAGAGACTCACAGCCGCGTTCCAAGTTGCCTGTACTTGCGTACGCTCTCTCCACCAGCATTTGGCGAGCATTGCAAGATTTAAGGCTCGTAAACTCCCAATGCCCAACCCACCACTCTTCTTGTCACTAAGAACCCGTTCCCACGCCACCCTGTTAAGTTTTTTCCCTCTTCCATTCCCAGAAAAAACGTCGTCTAATAATTTCTAGAGTGATGATCACCTTCTTGGGAGCTTTGAACAACGAGAAGTAGTACGTGCCCAGACTGCCCAAAACAGATTTACATAGGCATAACCTTCCACCTATGGACAAATTCCTAGCTTTCCAGAATGATAGACGCGTCTTAAACTTCTCAATGATAGGCTGCCAACTTGCCATGGACGACATATTACCACCAACTGGGAGACCCAAATAAAAAAATGGAATCGTTTCCTCCTTGCATTTAAGCCAACAGGCCATTCTGGATATCTCTTCCTTACTAATCGCAACACCCGTAAGACGACTTTTACTCAAGTTAATTTTAAGACCCGAACATACCTCAAAGCATTTAAGGATGCTAATCAAATTTTTTGCGTTAACCGCAGCCCATTCTCCTATAAAAATAGCATCGTCCGCATATTGCAGGATTGACACATCTTCCTCTTGWTTCGCCCARTGAACACYTTTAAAAAGAGCCTTCCGCTGTGCTTCCTTCATAATGACATTTAGTCCCTCAGCCGCGAGAATGAATAAAAAAGGAGCTAATGGATCTCCTTGTCTAACGCCTCTGCCCATATTGAACTCCTTCGACGGCGAGCCGTTAATGAGGACCGAACTTTTAGCCGTACGAACACAACCTTTCATCCAGGCTCTCCATTTATTGCCAAATCCCATCTGCAATAGAACATCGTCTAGGTAATTCCAATTGAGGGAATCAAAAGCTTTGGCGAAGTCAACTTTAAAGATAAGCAGTTTTTTATGCATCCTCTTGGAACAAGCGATTAGCTCATTCACCATCATCGGACCATCCAGAATACTACGACCCTTGATAAAAGCCGTCTGAGTGCTGCTAACAACCGAATCAATGACACCCTTCAGCCTTCCCGCGAGGACTTTCGATATCACTTTGCTCACACACCCAATTAAATTTATTGGCCGATAATCAGCAAGGGAAAAAGGGTCTCTTATCTTCGGCACAAGGGAGATAAAGGAGGAATTGCTACCCGGGTTTATTATAGAGGTTTCTTTTAAGAATTTGACCGCCTCCATAAAGTCCTTCCCCAGCTTGTTCCAAAAAAAACGAATGAACTTGAAGGTGAACCCATCCGGACCCGGGGCCTTATTGCTACCGCAACTCCAAACCGCACTTTTAATCTCCTCCTCCGTGAAAGGTGCTTCCAGCCAGTCCCTTTGAGAGTCCGAATTTTTTAAAGAGTGAGCTGCTAATAGTAGGCCTATACGGGTATCGATCTGAGAACTTGTTTTTGAAGAAATCATGAGCTGTTTCTTTTATTTTCTCCGGACAAGAGATCCAGCTACCATTGATGTTCAACCCATGAATCCGAGAGCTTTTGCGTCTACTATTCAAAAGACCATGAAAAAAACTCGTGTTCTCATCTCCCATTGCGGTCCACCTTGATTTAGCTTTTTGCTTAAGATCACTGACCTGGTTGGCGACCAAATCATTCAGCTTGACCAAAAGATTCGCTCTTTCATTCACTATACTCATGTCAATAGAGCTCGATTCCGCAAGAAAATCAATCGCAGCGATTTTCAGCTTGAGTAACTCACAATCTGCTTTAATATCCCTGGAAGCTCTTTCCCTCCACTCTTTGATACACCTTTTGAGATACCGAAGCTTTCTGGATAACCGCTCCACCCGTGAAAACACCTCGAATTCCGATCAAGGCTTGTCCCAACAATCTTCGACCAATGCTGCCAACTCTTGATCTGAAAGCCACGAGTTAAAAATTTTGAACGGAGTAGGACCACCTTCATTACTCCTCGAGTCCAAGATGATCGGGCAATGATCTGAAAAAACTCTAGGCAGAGCCATTGAGTTCACCATCGGCCAAGCATTGACAAACTCCATGTTTACCAGGAACCGATCCAACTTACTGAGCTTGGAGCATTCACGGTTCATCCAAGTATATTTGCGCCCACCAAGAGGAATATCTGAGAGTCCTGCTGAAGTAATTAAGTCATTAAAGAACTTTTCCCCCATTGGATCAAAATTAGATCCCTTCCGTTCGTCAGCTGTTCGAACTTCATTGAAATCCCCACATATAACCCAAGCAACACCAGAATACTTCTTTAACGTTCCTAGCAATTCCGTCCAAAGTAGTCTTTTCCTTTTGGAATCTTGTGGTGCATAGACATTTATCACCCCCATCGTTAACTTCGAGGCAAGCCACGAACCCATAACCGCAATAAAACCCTCCTTTTTTTCCACGCATTGAGCCTGGAACAAACTGTCATTCCAGATCGTAATCAAACCTGACGAGTGACCAACCGGGTCAATAGCAGCGAACTGGAATTGCGGTCCACCCCAAACYGAAGCAACCTGCCAGTCCTGCTGGATAACCATTTTCGATTCTTGAAGACAGAGAAAACTAATTTTATTCTCCTGCCCCGCGTTCTTGACCCATCTCCTTTTAGACTCCTTTCCCATCCCATTCACATTCCATGAAAGAATTTTTAACATAAATCGTTACCCTCCCCATTACCAACTATAMTCTCTAATATATCCAAATTACTCTCAAAATTAAYGCCAATTTCCTTTCCCACCTTAACCAAAWTKYTAATTTCCTGACTTGGACTATCACCCGAAAGAGTATGAGATTCCGAAATACCTGGTAAAGAAGAAGCAGCTCTTATACGTCGATTAGAGTTTCTGATCATCAAATCCGAGTCTAAGGAGTCTTGCGAATTTCTATCACCCACAAAGCTTTCCCCTAACATACCATCCGAAGTCTCGTGTTTACAAGAAATCCCACGTTTCCTTCGATAACAATTGCAAGGGCTTTTTATTTTTTCATTTTCTTTATCCTCCTTTTCCTAATCTTCAAAGTATCGAATTTGGCTTGGAAAATCCATTCCTCCATCTGTTCTTCTTCAACCTGCCCTGAGCCAGCATCGATCTCATCACATCATTCCTCGTGGTTGCAGATAATAGGGGCAGATTCAGGGATGAATTCCTCTTGGGTCTTAGATATCTTAGGTTTAGGCCCAACCAAGGAAGGGGAATATAGGAAGTTTGCAGGCCCAGACTCAGAAATTGCATTTATCTTAGGCCCAACATCAGTGAATTTATTCCAAGGGTCCAAGATGGGGGAATCTTCTTCCAACATGCATTCACCAGCTTCCTTTGGAGAAAACACATGCTCCTCATCCTTCCTCAAAAAGTCCACCAAATCATTATTTTCTTTTGAGACACCCACTTGTGCGCCAACTTTCTGCTTCAAAAGCAGCTCCCTCATTAATTTTTTGTTGCCAAGCACGCAACCCGATGACTCTTCAACTTCACACCTGATCGGCGAATTTGAATTCGAATTCAAAGCCTCGTTCCCCGGTGAATCCCCGACCGGAACTTTTGAGAATATTGACGGCGACGACCCCTTTCCAAAACCGAGCTCCAAATTGCCCTCCTCGCTGCTACTGAGAAAGTCGGCCTCCGATTCTGCTTCGATAATTTCTCCTATCTCCAGATCTTCCCACGATTTTTCAACAACTCTGACCATGAACAGAGACCTTCCGATGACCACCTTTACYGTATCCCTTATCCAGTCCACYTTATCCGTCAACACATCCACGATACCATGAGATTTACGGAGACCCGGTTCACCATAAAATTTCTGATAAACGACTTCTCCCCATAAACCCCCTATTTTAGAGAAGGAGTCGGGATTCCAGACCTAAATTGACAAGCCTTGGATTTCCAGTCTAGCTATGCGTTTCCTTAAGTGAAGCTCCTCATCCCACCTTCTCATGCTTGCAAACCAGTCCTGCCAAATATCGACAGCCATTACAGAAATCGCGAGCCCCTTCAACCGTAACAAACTCCAGCAACAACGAGAGACCCCCAGGTAGCTAAACCGAATTCCAGCCCACCCTTCCATCCTCGACAAAGACCCGATCATCTTGAGAGCTTCATACCTTTTCAATTCTCCAATCAGCGCAGATTCCAATCTGGCTATCATATCTGGCGCAGGACTCAGTTCCAGCCTCTTCTCGCCCGTATCTATACCCCCCATGGCTCCCTCAAACGAAGGTTTCTCCATGCAGCGACCAGCCCCTCTTACCGCCTTCGCATACGATTTGGCCCCCGGCATACGGCCGACATGTGCAGACGCACGTACCATCTTAGAACCCACTTGAACTCTTGCTTCCGCCTTACCTCCATTCTTCCTGCTGAAACGAGCTAGGTTAGCCCTTATCTTGAAGGAGCCTATCCACATCTTGTTGAGATTCTCTTCAATCAGCCTCCAATCTTTGACCTTGATGAAACGCACAAACCCGAATCGCTTACCCTGTCCATTTCTCTTCTTTGCTACGTACAAATCTACAATGTCCCCATGAGTCTTGAATTCTCTCCATAAGCTTTGCTCCGAGATTAACTCCGGGAAGTTAGTGAAGAAGAATGTTGTTGCTTTACCTTTCAGGTTGTCACTCCCCAGAGGAAAGGATTTCGTCATGCTTTATCCGTCACTCAAGAGATAGCTTTTTGTATTGTGAGTTAATCGTAGTTAGTTTGGCACCAATCGGGGAGACGCTAGCCACTTCAAAGATCGGTTTGGGCTATGCCATGTATTGTGAGTTACACGTGATTTATTTTTAAAATGGTTGCATGCCTTATTATCCACAAATTGTTTGAAGTTTCTCGAGATTTTTGATATGCTATATATGCGTGAAAAGTTCGATATTTTTATAACATGTGTTTTGAGTACTTGTGTGTCAATGGGGACGTACTACGGTATGATTTTGTAAAGACAAGCATGTTTTGTGAGTTTGTCTAAGCCGTAAGTGCGGACATACTGTGTGAGTTCGCCAGGTGAAGTAGACATCTCCCATGATGCTGTTGCTTTGTAATGTATTATTCTCATCAAGGCATGCTAAATTTATGAAGCTTCGTGAAAATTGTTTTTTATAAAAGTTGTTGTTCATGCATGAAAACTGTGGATTCACTGAGCCTAAGGCTCACCCATAACTCTTTTAAAACATTTTACCCAGGCGGCTTTTGAGTGGAAAGAAAAGTGCAATAAAGAGAGATATAAGGATTAAGATCAAAGAAGGACATGTGCAGATCAAGGCATTGTTATAAAGAGTAAAGTATGTTCGTCAAGATTGTAATGTTACATGGCGATATAATTTGTAAGATTGAAGATTTTATTTCCACTGCAATGTAAGTGTTTGATCTTGGGATAGTAGTTTTGTTATATATAAGTATTTGAAATTTTGGGATGTTACATTTTTAAACTGAATTATCTTTAAAATAGCTAATATTTTAATCAAACAAAGTACATAAAAAAATCGAGCATTTTATTCTCTTCGATTTGACATCCATCTCGATATAAATTTTTTTGTTTTTATCGTTTTTTACATGAAATGATATATTTGTGTAATATTCATCATCAAGCTCATATGTTTATAACAACCCTTTAATATTCATAAATTAGTATGATATTCATTATGAATATACAACTTAGTATAACATTTATCATGAATATTTATGTATTTTCACATGTATTGAATAAATCTTCAGTATTCATACATAACTATGACATTCATCATTAATATATTTTTTTATTCATCATGAATATATATATATATATAATATAATATATATACACACACATATATATAGGGAAATAATATTTTACAAACCAAACCGTTTGTACAATTTGTGAAAACCGTCAATTTCATTACTTATTTTCGTGAAATTTTTTCATGGAGTTGTTTAATATGATGAAATTGTTTCAAGCAATTCACTTCAAACAATTATGGACATTATCATCTTCATTCTATTAATTTTAGTAAATAAATTTCATCAAAATCGAGAAATATATGAAACAATTTAATTTTTACATAGAGACAAAAATATATTAAACATTTTCATCAAGAAATGAATTATTGGAAACAATTTCATGAAAAAAAAAATCAAATAAGCAACAAAATCTATGGTTTTCACGGTTTGTACAAATAGTTTGGTTTGCATTTTTTTTCCTCCCCTATATATATGTATGTGTGTGTGTGTGTGTTCACGTGTATACAATAACTCTTATATATTCATGCATCAATATGATCTTTATCATTACTATACATTTTTACTATAACATTTATCATGAATATACATATTATTTATCATGAATATTTATATATATTCACGTGTAAACAAAAAAAAATCATCATTCATACATCAGTTGATATTCGTCATAAATATACATTTCCACTGTAACATTTATCATGAATTTACATACTATTCATTATAAATATATATACTATTCATCATGAATATTTATGTATGATCACGTGTATACAATAACTCTCTAGTATTCATATTAGTATGATGTTTATCATAAATATTAATTGTCACCAAAATATTCATCATACATGTACATATTATTAATTATGAATCTACTACAGTTTCAACTCTATATACTTTAGTTTTTCTTTCTTTTTCTTTTTGGGGTTCTCGATTGATCTAGATAAGTTCTCAATCCATCTTGATAAAAGCTAAAAGTGGTAGGTTATGGTTTTACATAAATAAAAGTTAAAAGTGATAGGTTGTGGTTTTACACAAATAAACACATAATAAACTAATCAATAGGTTCTCAATCGGTCTCGATGAAAAATGAAGGTGTTATGTTATGATTCTAGCACACAATCACACATAAGTTAATGGATGAGTTCTGGATTAGTCTTGATTGGTGTAGATTGGTCCTGATGGGTTGTCAATCGATCTTGATGTGTTCTTGATTGGTCTCGTTGGGTTCCCGATCCGTCTCGATAAAATCTGAAAGTAGTAGCCTACGATTTTACACACACAAACAAGTACTAGATCAATCAATAGGTTTTTTGATGAAAAATAAGGTGGTAGGTTACGATTTAACACACATAAACACATACCAAGTCAATGCAGGATTCTCGACCTTTCTTGATCGGTCTCGATGGGTGTTGGGTTACGATGATAAAGAATGCGGTGCCTTACGACGTTGAAGAAAATATTGAAGAAGGTGATGTCGAACTGTTGTACACACTTGAACGTACATAGATATTCATAATGAATATAACACATATACACCATTTTATGTAAAAACGGTTAAAACGGGAAAAAAACTATATCGAGATAGATGTCATATCGAAGATCATGAAAAATTCTTACTTTTTGATATAATTTTGTTTGATTAAAATATTAATAACTTTTAAGATAATTTATTTTAAACTTTAAGGGAGTAAAAGTTTTTGATTAAAAAGAAAATAAAAGGTCAAATAAAATAGGTGTGAGATTGAAATTAACTTCATTTTTTTTATCTCTATTCACCTTAATTAATAATTAAATTAAACTCTATTCAATGTGTGTTGTTGGAT